GCAATCGAATTTAACTTGATAATTGTGAATTAAACAAAAAAGAAAAGAAAACATGCGTACTTCGATAATGTGGCCAATTCATTTGTCAACTGGGAGGTACATCAAACAGCTGCGTTCAGAGCTGTAGAGCTGCGGTCATTATGTTGCAGTCCAGTATGTAGCTATTGTGTGCTAACTGTCCATGTGCACCGTCGCATAATCCACCATTTTGGTTCCACCAATAGTAGTATTATTATTAATTTATTCAGGCAGATTCAAAATATACATACAATAAAAATTATATCCAAAATGTAATATAAAAAGAGGATCAATACAGATTGAAAAAAGGAGGCACACATGTAAATAGTCAATCAGTATAAAAGACGAGGAATGATTAAGCAAAAGGTAGACAAGACAGACATATATATAAAAAAACGAGGACATTGCAGGACTTCCTTGGAGAAAAACAACAGTGAAACATATCACTTTCGCCAAAAGGGCGTGCCACTCCGAGAGTAAAGACACTCATGTCGCAACTCTCTCTATACCTGCTATAAACGGCTCTGGCTGTATTGGTACATGTACATGGTGCATGCGCATCCTCGTGCTTCACAACAATTGTCAGGTTTAAGTCTCTTCACAACCGTGCCACTTTCGATGGAACATTTTAGCATCTTTTACTAAAATAAGTACGTTTGGAAATTATGACGTCACACATACAATAGACTGAGGAAAGCAGACGATGACTGCATCCGTAGTAAAGCTGGGTATAGGTCTTCGCCCCATTAGAAATAAACGGGGAAGTACTGACAATAGGCATATCCGTACTTCTAAATGTTCGCTTCGGACACAACCAATATTATATCAGCTTATGGGTAAAAAGATTACGCTAATAACATCTTTTTAATGGTCTTAAATTACAATTCATTTCAAAATGGTTTATGTATAATTGATCTCGTATCCCAAATTTCACATGCACTTCAGAATCCGCCCACTTTCGGGGGAGAGCGATGTATTTGCTTTGATTGAAATGAATACATTCTGAAAATATGTCACCCAAAGTACCGAATGCAATGTAGAATATAAAACTATATACTGTATGTACAGTACATGTTCAGGGGCCACTGTTGTTGTTGGCTGGTGTTTTCTCATACATCAAAGACCAGCCACGTGACAAGCTCTTGACCAATAGGAATCAGTCAAACTATCTCATCATCCATTATGACTACATGGATAAAATAACAAATGAGGTGTAAATTACTGATAAAAGACATGTTTATATACGTGTAGCTTGTTTTACACGACTGACACATTACAGTGCTAACCCATGGTAATTTTCCAGTGCTGTGCCACGAAGGCGCGCTTTTCGCAGAATTCCCCCTTTCATCGACAGCCAAGTGTGGAAGGGCATGGAGGAAGGAACACATAATAAGCTTTTATGAACCGGGTTCGTGGCTAGTTCGAGGTCGAGGCTGGCAGTAAGCGCACTCACGCAACCTTCGGGTATTTGCACCACCGGAAATCAGTGAACGCCGTGTAGAAAACTTAGCAGAGGTTTGTCCACCTTGACCGTAGCAAATAACGGCTCGAGATATCACGTGTGCATTACGCTATTTATATTAGTTTAACAACATGTGATGGTTGGGTTAACAGGGCAGTCCAGATGTCTGACATCCGGATGTTGGTCATCGTGATGATGGTCAACTGTATTATCTAGCTTTGCACTCAGGAACATCTAATACGAGCCCTTTCCACTCGACGACAAACAAACAAACTCAGAAATTCACTAGTAATTCACCTCGAGGTAAAGGCGACCTTTGACACGATGTCGCTTATGTAATGTATCTCAAGCATAACAAAACGTTTCAAACCTCGCGAGATTGTTCGGCGTCGCATCATGGAAATGGCCTATACCAATGTTGAACGCGTTCAAACACAGGGAAAATTTGTGCGCTACAGCATGTCAATGCCCAAGGGCACTATGAATATGTGCGCTGTTTTTGATGATGCTGTCATGTTTATATTCCTACATTTTCCCCCGTCCTTCACTCTTGATATTCAAACAACTGTGTTTCAGTCACGTAATTCACGTTAGCGACTTCGCTGGGGTCGAAATTCAACGAGATAAACCATGCTTCAAATCAGTGTACAAACACAACTCCGTCTTGAGCGCTGTCATTTCATTGGCGTCTTCACAACAAGGCGAATGTGTGTTGTTTCTTTGTTTCATTTTTGTAATCGATATCCTGTGCTATACACTTCAAGGATGATGATACATACGATTAAGCCCCTTCGGTTTCTTGCAATTTCGCCTACGTCATCGTTTCACACTTCATGCCTGCAGGAGCAACATTCGTTGCTGTCAGGGGTCGACACCATACTGAATAATGAACTCGATCGGATCATGCACCAGGTGACAAAATGGGGATTATTTTTAAGGGCCGGAATACTTAAAAGTCATCTTTGTGACTCACCATTGTTGTCAATCTCAGTCATGCAATCGCAAACGCGCCTCAACGTTGTGTGCGTAGAGGAACTGTATACACACCCTTTGCGAAGGATTGTACATGTATTATTATGAGTCCTTTTACGGGGTACTTGACGTCATTTGCTAGGCTTTTGAATAGCTAATCCGTCAGTGTCGTGTTTTGAATAATTGAATTAGCCAGGTGTTGTAGGTTAAAATTATTTTATTTGAAAAAATAGGGACTCACTGTTGAAACTATTTGGCTCAGATGTGCCCTCTTAAGGCTAATCTCTTGATCACATTTTCTATTCCTCCACACGAGTCTTCGTCTGCGTGAGATCTTTGCACGTGCTTTTCTAGACTGGGATGGAGGCTGTTTTCTACGCATTTTCCCTGAAAAGTCCCACATCGAGGAGCAAATTAAGCAAAATAATGTCGTGGCGCTCAACCCAATATCAGTGACCTCAGGCTTCCCTGACGCCAGTTGCCGTCCCTTGTGTCGCTACGTGGATCTGTATACATATCACAAGGGCAAGGTTCTTAGAGTCTCAAGAGATAAAAATTAGGGGTAGAATCTAATTTTATTGCATGCAGAAAAGGTGAAACAAAAAAACTTGATTTCATTTGAGGCAAATCTTATAGTTATAATCTGCAACAGTACAATTTTGTATTTAAACGCGTTCTGTTCAGTAAATTCCCTTCCACATTACTCCAACTTGCATCAAGAAAGTATACCTCCATATTACTGATGCAGTACCTCTCCGTTCATTTTCTAATATATCTTCTCCACTGTCGTAATCATCATCATCCTTTCATCGATCGACCGGCACAATTCCAC